CCTATCGAATTGCAAAATATAAATATACCTACCAACATCACACTAGCTGATACAACATTTAATAAGCCATCAGAAATTAATATGCTCATTGGTGCTGACATTTTCTTTCAGGTGCTGTTGCCGCCTGAAGGGGTACAAAATTTAACTGCTCGTCATGACCTAGCATGTTCACAACTGCCGAGCATTATCAACACTAAGTTTGGCCACATCATTGCCGGAGCAGCGACATCTAACATACTAAAAAATCAGGTTGTATCACTCGTTTGTGCTAAATGCAACTCTGACGTTAGTGACAGTATAAAAAAACTATGGGAAGTGGAGCGTGTTCCTGAGTTATTAATACAAAGAAATTCAGATCAAGAATTAGCCGAAAACATCTTTATTAATTCTGTTAAATTAGATAATAAAAAATTTACAGTTGACTTACCCTTAAAATTAGAATTGACTAATATAAATGAAACTTTGGGAAATTCATTTGACTTAGCTTTGCACAGATATTTTAGCTTAGAAAAAAGACTACAAAAAAATGTTAGCTTACTGACAGATTATCAAAGGTTTATAGACGAATATGTAAGTCTTGGTCATGGGCATTATGTAGATATTACCTCATACAATTTTAATGATGCACCTGTTTATTTCATGCCACATCATTCGGTCATAAATGACCACAATAAAAGCACGCGATTGAGAGTGGTATTTGATGCTTCAATGAAGACGAATAAAAGGGTCTCATTAAACGATATTTTATTAAATGCTCCAATGCCACAAAAGGAATTATTTGATATTATTTTATTGTTCAGATTTGGAAAGTACACACTTAGTACTGATATAAAGAAAATGTTCCGCAACATATTGGTGAATCCGGAACACACTTCACTCCAAAATATTCTTTGGCGTAAACACCCAGATCAGCCTGTGAGTTGCATACGTCTTGATACTGTCACATACGGACTGAAGTCTTCAAGTTTCTTGGCCACTCGCTGTTTGCTTGAACTTGCACAGCGCTATGAAACACAACTGCCATTGGCATCCTTCATGCTTAAACATTGCACCTTTGTGGATGACATTCTGTATTCATGCTCAGATTTACACAAATTGCTTGAAGGGAAGCTTTATTTTGCACAAATGGGCATCCAACACACCTAAGGTCCTTTCGGATGTACCAGAGCATGAGCGGCAATTCAGTGAGCTTGATCTGCAGAAAGATGGTTTTAGTATAAAGGCTTTAGGACTTATGCTTGATGTTAAAGAGGACTGTTTCATTATTAAAAGCCCACAATCATACAATAATAATGTGCTTACAAAAAGAGAAATACTAAGCTTTATTTCAAAATTTTATGACCCTATGGGATTTGCAAGTCCCATTATAATAAGGGCTAAAAGTATCATGCAAAAAATTTGGTCAACCAATGTCAATTGGGATGACAAATTGCCTGAAGATTTACTTCATGAATGGCTTGAATTTGCTAATAGTTTGGCCTCTATGAAGCCAAATTACATTAGTCGACACATTCCAGTTAATAATGCAGCTTCAGTGTAATTAGTTGGTTTCGCTGACGCCTCGTTTATCTACGAGTGATCGACAAGACAGGTAAAGCTAAATTACACTTACTCTGTTCGAAGTCGCGAGTTAACCCGCGTAAGAACCCACTGACCATACCCAGACTAGAACTCAATGCTGCCTTACTTTTATCCATTTTAATGGAGCGAACACATAATATATGACATAATCATATTCAAATTAATGAGGTCTTTTTATTCACTGATTCAAAAATCCCTTTAGCTTGGATAAAAACTAATATCACAAAACTTCAGGCTTATGTTTCAAACAGAGTCCGTGTAATTCAACAAAAAACAGAAAACTGGAAATGGTTGTATGTGCCTTCTGCAGACAACCCTGCTGATCTTATAAGCAGAGGTATTAATCCCCAGCAACTGCCCAACTGTTCCCTCTGGTGGGACGGACCAAAATTTTTGGAACGTGAGTATACACCCAAAAACGAAAGGTTAGAATTACCTAATAACTTACCTGAAATGAAGGCTAATATTTCCGAGCCGCCACTTCAAGGTAAAGTAATACTGACCACCTCTAGTAAAAGAGATTATTTTCAGCATATACTAGATAGGTATTCGAGCATAGAAAAAATGACAAGGGTCTTGGCATATATATTTAGATTCTATAATAATCTCAAAAACAGTACCAAAATTAATGATAATACTTTAAGTCCCACTGAATTAGAATATGCATTGCATGTAATAATAAAACACGAACAATCTATTTATTTCTCTGATGAAATAAGAGCATTGTGTAAGGGTGAACACTTGCGTGGACAACTTAAGGCTCTACATCCCTTTATAGACGAAAAAGGGTTGCTTAGAGTGGGAGGTCGATTAGAAAACTCTGATATACCACTTTCACAGAAACATCCTATTATTCTAGCAAAAGGATCTCGCGTTACAGAGCTTTTAATACAAAGTGAACACATAAGATTATTACATGCAGGCCCAAAATCACTTCTCGCTAATTTAAATCAAAAGTATTGGTTGATAAATGGAATAAGACAGGTTAAAAAGGTAACTCATAAATGTTTAATATGTTTTAGATTGAAGGCTGGTGCAGCACAACAGTTGATGGGCTCCTTGCCTCAACACCGAGTGAAGGAATGCAGACCGTTCCAGAAAGTCGGTATAGATTTCGCTGGGCCAGTCCAAATCAAAAATTCCCGAATTCGTAAATCAGTAATCAGTAAGGGCTATGTATGTGTATATGTTTGTTTTGCCATAAAGGCAATACATTTAGAATTAACTTCCGACCTTACTACTGAAGCATTCCTTGCTAGTTTTAAAAGATTCATTAGCAGGCGTGGCTTGCCCAGCGACGTGTTTTGCGATAATGGTGGTTGTTTTCGTGGGGCAAGGAACCACTTGGCTGAGCTGTACGAACTAAGTAATTCTGTGAATCACCAATCGCTTGTGCAAGCTTTTGCCACAAAAGAAGGCATTAGATTTCATTTCACGCCCAGTTACGCGCCAATTTTTGCAGGGCTTGCGGAAGCGGGGGTGAAGAGCATGAAGTACCACTTGAAACGTATTGTTTTAAATGCTGCAATTACTTATGAACAGTTAAATACGGTTCTATGTCAAATTGAGGCTGTACTAAACTCTAGGCCGATTCTACCTCTATCAGAGGATATCAATGATTACTGCTACCTTACTCCGGGCCACTTTTTAATAGGAACAGCCCTAACTATGTACCCAGAAAAGGATATTTCTGATATTAATTGTAATAAAATAAGTTTCTGGCAACAATGTATTCAGTTACGACAGAGATTTTGGAAGGCTTGGCATAAGTACTATTTAAACACATTACAAAATAGGGGTAAGTGGCATAAAGCCATGCCAAATATTACTGTAGGTGCATTGGTTTTAATGAGAGAGCAAAATGCTCCGCCTTTGGTGTGGCCCATGGCACGTGTGGTGCAAGTTTTTCCTGGCAGTGACCAAAAGGTCAGGGCCTTACAATTAAAGACAGCTGATGGTAAATTGTTCACTAGGTCATTGCAAAGCATAAGTGTGCTACCAATTGATTAATTATTTTTTATCTTATATTGTTTTTGTTCTTGTTAAGTAACGATTCATTACATTAAGTACCTATTGTAAGTTTAATAGATACTATAAGTTCTTAAAAACAACTTTAGAAAGTATATATGTATACTCATAACTATTTAGGTTACACTTTTGTAAAATTTCCTTTTATGCAAAATTACCACTAAGATTATTAAAATAATGTTAAGGGTGCGCCTTAACTGCACAACCTTTTGTAAAACTTATGAGTTTTTATAAAAATAATGTAAAATAGCATAAGAAAAACATTAAAATTGATTCTTTGTCCTTATAATAGCATAAGAAAAACATTAAAATTGATTCTATGTCCTTCTAAAGGTTTAAATAAGCTTGTTTTTAATAGTATTGGCAAAATAAATGATTGTTTAATTTGGCATTTATCTATGTAAAAGGATTAGATGTGATTGTAAAATTTCTAATTATTTCATTTAATAACTGTTGAATGGTCACAATGACCAATTTTTTATAAGGCTTCTTACATATTGGTTTTAATTGAGATTAAACTTTAACTTCATTTAATTTTGTATTTATATAGAATAAAATTTCAAAATAAACTTCAACATAAAAAAGGCTTTATCCTTTTCCGGGCCGCAGTATGTTGCTGGCAACACATTGTCTATGATCTGTAACACCGTAGAAGCCGTTTAGTTGTTGTTTGTAATATCATAGAAAGACGCCATTTATATATACTCTGCAATTTTTATGTTCAAGAATAAAGTGTTTGTGTTAAAAATATTGTTTTCCTCATAATTCTCAAGAACCACAGCGCGAAACATTGGTCCTTCGAGCCGGATATTAAACTCGTGTATGAGGTTCTTTTTTGAATTGGATCACTCTATAGTGTACTAAACTTTTTGGTTCACTTGGACATTTAAATCATCAATACTACCTTTAATATTCAACTTTAATATTTTAGTTTCATGACCGGCACGTTAAACTGTTTATTACAGCAGAATTTTAAATACCTAAAGACCCACCAATCGCACTCGGCTCGGGATATGGGTCATGCATACCCATTCTCCCTATTCGATTCCGTTCCATATATCTTATAAGGAAGCCATAGCATCGTTACATTAATAGGTTCACGATGATGTATAACACAATATGTTTGTTAACAGTACATTAAATCGCAACCCAAGCACAAGCTAAAGTGGCTCGATGTATTTTCTCGTGTACTTACCATTTTATTATATGGTAAGTACCCCGTGTACGTCGATAAAATGCTTGGAAATTAATGACACCAAGATCGTAACTATAAATAAAATAACATTACTAACGCGACTTTAAAAAATAGTTTCATTGTAGTTGTGAACCTATCATTGATATATTTTTTTATTATTTATCCATTATTCGGCCTGAACTCTTACAGGCCGTACTCATGCCGAGAAGTCTCGCTGCGCCTTCATAGCGAGAAATATACAGGAATGAGAAGGCGAGACACATATCACATTCCCGAGTATCGGAGCTTCTCGGCGTAAGTCTATTCATAATAAGCTTTTAGCTTTCTTTCAATATAATATTTGCATGTTTAGATTTAATGTATTAAGTTTAAAACAGCAGATTTTAATTTATTACCATAATGGCAGATTATTCAAGATGGAGGACTAGTTTTGTTTTAACCAGTCTCATAAGATGTCATTATTTGGTTACCTAAAGAAAATTTGGATAAGTAAAATATATAAAAAAAATTTGACGTAAACTTGAACGCATATAAAACCTTATCAATATTACATTTATTAAGAAAATAAAAAAGAAAAAGTTTTTCTAAATAATTAACATGATGAACAACATGAGAGAAATGGAAGACAATAGTAGCACATTTTACAATAGAGTAATACAGCTGTTGGCGAACTTGTCAACTTTCCGTGAATTTTCAGAAACATTTTTGAGCAAACACCCGACCCAAACTGAATTACGCAGAGTACGCTTACAATAATGCCCTTTTTAGACATCCTCCTCGATACGGAAATCGTTAGGATAATACGTCGTATGAAAATAACTAGAAAATTTTTATTCTGTGCTTGGAAGATTTCACCTTATTTGTTTACGCCCTCATCGTGTAAGCAAAGGAAGGAAGGATTTCTTTTAAATAAAAGCTCTTAAGTTTTTTTGTTAAGTAGTTGTTGAAGAAGTTACAGAAATTCTAACTATTAAAATATAAAATACCACTGTCCCTACAATCTCTAATATTAACGGGGTGTGCTTCAGAGATTTCAACCACGCTAAAGAAATCTACACCAATAAATTATTAAAACCAGTAACACTGAAACTCTTAATTTTATTGTACGTACTGAATAAAATAAATGAAGTAGCTCGGCGGCGTAGTGGATAAGCGCCGCGGCCCGCGATCATTGTCGTTAAGCAACTTTCGCAAGGGTCGGTCACGGGATGGGTGACCAAAAATTATCATCTCGAGCTACTCCGTGCTTCGAAAGGCACGTTAAGCAGTTGGTCCCGTCTGCATTTGCAGTCGTTAATACCCTCCAATCCGCATTGGGCCAGCGTGGAGGGTCATGGCCCATCCTCCTTAACCATCCATAAGGAAGGCCTGAGCCCCTGCAATGGGGACGTAAAAGGGCTGATGATGGCTGAATAAAAAGCTTTAATCTAATCTTAATTAGATGAAATACATGTTTTTATTAACTAAAACTCACCCAGCATTCTTATAACCCTCCGTTGGGATGTGCCATTCCTGTAGCGCGTACTGGTGTTATTACATCGTTCGTTACTCTCCACGGACGGTTTTTTCACTGGATGTAACACATGAGATGTACGCAACTTAATGCCTATCAACGCGTATAACACTGAGATCACAGACATTGGCACTACGAAGAATATGAAACTAGATATAATGAACACTTGATGGACTCCCTGACCAATCACAGTACACATACTAACATTTTGTCCGTTATCCACTTCAATAAGTATACCGAATTGCATCGCTTGCGGTATAGCAGTGCATAAAGCGCAAATCCATATAGCTATAATAAAACGCACTGCTCTTGAAAGCTTAGACATTGTATGAGACATAAAAGGACGACAAATAGCTATATATCTTTCAACAGTGAATGCAGTTATAGTGAGAACTGTAGCGTTTGCCGATGTTTCCGATGCTAATCCTAACGCGATACAGTGAGCTTCACCTAGGGGGTAAGTGGACGGATTCCATATCTTGTGCAGTTCGATAGGCAATCCGCAAATGAGGAGTATCAAATCAGATATGGCAAGACTAAATAAGTAGAAGTTAGTAGCAGTATGCATTGATCGATTTCGGGATATCACAACGCACGTGCTTATGTTCCCAAGGATCCCGGCCACGAATATGACGGTGTAAGTGATACTTAAGGGCACTAGTAGGTCAAGGGAATCTGGCTCAGAGTACTCTGAAGTCCGGACGGTTTTATTTGTCCTATTTACTAGCAACTCCACCGGTGTGGTCTCCATAGCGACTGCTTTGACAACGTCATCACACTACCTGTGAACAAAATACAATACGTTATGACATTTTCCACAATATTTTTTCCTCAGACACATTGTAACTTTGTCTGTGAATATCAAGATAAAAACCAATCAAGAGCGAATGGGTTTTTTTTATAACACAACTATTATAGATTTTTCTGGAACGACTTATAAATAAACTATATTTTCTTTTTTCGTTTTGCCCAAAATGTTGGGCCCAATAGTTTCTGAATAAAGGTTATTTATCTCAAAAATGTAAAATGAAATTTATCTTTACGTTGCCGTCGATTTTACAAACCTCTGAGCATCACAAGGCAGTTTTAGTGACGTCCATTAGATGTTCTTATTCAAATTCAAGTGGTACTTGAACGGAATTTCGATAGAAGATATTTTTTTATTGATTATTCTTCTATTTCATACTGTCCGTTTTCTTTCTTACTGTAATTATAAATTACAACTTCTGAACTTTGTTAAAATTATAAGATATACTATATCTCGGATGTCGTTTCTTTGACAGTTCAATTGACACTATCTGATTTTCTTTGCTAATTATTCTAATTAGTTAAGTACGCATTTAAATATTTGAGTTAAACAGATTTATAAAGGAGACAAAGCAAAATTTGAGAAAATACAGATAAGTAATTAGACGTATATGACCTACAATCATGATGATATACGATCCATAAAATGCACTATCTACATGCCACTTTGCCCAAAATAATTATAGGTTTCACATGTTGTATGTTATGACTAACTAGAAATCCTTCGATGCTGCTTAATTTGTAATTAACTCAACTACAGACTATATTTTCAACCCGCAACGTAAAAAGAGGAGTGTTATAAGTTTAACAAGTCTGTGTGTGCTTGTCTGTCTGTAACATCATAGCTCCCAAACGGATGAAGCGATTTCAATTTAGTTTTTGTATTAAAGGAGAAGTCACGTAAGTATTTGCGAGTGTTCTTAGACATGTTTGATGAAACTCGGTTGAGCCGTTTAAAAGTCGCTTTTAAAAGGGGCTTGAAAGTGGGGAAGAATAACCGAATGTCTGCAAATCATTGGCGTAACTACATGGTGGCAAGTCAGCAAAATGCCACGGGCCCCCAGCTGGAAGGGGCCCCCGGTTAGAGGGGACTTCTTACTCCTGACATTTATTATTATGCAATTAGTAAAAAAATTGAATATCCGATTTATTTGCCACGGGCCCCAAACGGTATAGTTACTCCACTGCTGCAAATATACTCGAGTGGGTCTGAAATTAAAGCGAACTGAAAGAGAACATAGGTGACTTAATCGAGAATGTTCTTAGCTACGGTTGATGAGAAAATTATTATATTAAAGAGTTGAAGACTAATATAAACATTAAGTACAATTATTAGTTATAGAAATAATAACTAGTATTCGTAGGTAAAGTGAGAGCGAACAAGCTTGATTTTAAATATAATCTTTGCCTTGTAAAATGTTTATCCGTCAATCACGCCGAAACTACTGAACGGATTTTGATCAAATTTGGTAAACAGATAGGGTATTAGCTGACTTAGATAATAGGATAAGACTTTTTATCCCATTAAACATTTCCCTAGGGTCCACGCGGGCGAAGCCGCTGGCAAAAGCTAGTGTATTAATAATCCTAAAAAAATATGAGGGACCGCTTCAAACAATCATTTAATACGTCCCCCAAACGCGTAATATCTTTTTAGAATTATTAATACTTATTTTACCAAAAGTCTATACTGATATTGTAAAGAGGTAAAATTTTCTAACTTTGTATTTTTTTGTGTGGTTTTCTCAAATATCGGTAAAATTCGGGTGCCATAGATGAAATTTATGTGGAAGAAGTTACGTAAAAGTATGAAGCCATTCTAACCATCTAGAATTTGGGTGCCTTCAGATTTCATCCCGATTCGAATGACTTTACGTTAATAAATGTTTACTTTCATAGACATACCTTTATTATTTTTGGTTATATAACCTACATGGTTATACTCATCTTCAGTTCATAACTTATCTACTAGAATTAACTACAATCTCAATAGTTGAAAATATTGATCAGCGCGATAAGTATAATAATATTATTCTGATAGTATATCCTACTTAGTTACTCGTGTCAGTGTTATTAAATTCACAACATTTCATGTTGACTGCTGTATACGACATGGCAGATTCCGATCTCGGCGAGCAAGCAGGCTGCGCACTAGTTATGTAAATGATTTATGGTCGTGGAACTATCGAATTAAACGCAACAGTAACTCTTTAGTTGCTTAAACAACTGTACAATAAAAGCTTACTATCTCAACTTGTTTCAACTGACTTTTTCAGTGATATTAACGAAAAACAATCTTAATAAATATATATCTGTCACAACAAGTCGAGTAAAAAAGAGAACTGATCAATTATCACAAAATTTTAATTTGTTTTGGCGAAGTTCCAATGTTAACTGAGGAAACTTCCGAACGGCTAAAGCCAAAAGGGATCCGTGGAAAATACTCGGTTGCTTTTTTCATAAATACATTGACAGTATTTGGAGGTCATTGGAAATTATTGTATTTCTGATAATTACGAATACTGTGATTACGAATTTAAAGTTGAAAGTTGGTAGAACGTAAATAGATTTTGATTGACTGAAATTAGTTAATAGGGAATTACTCGCAAACTATTATGTTTATTATAAAAGTTATGCATAATTAACTGAGATACAAAGTTACTTAAATATTTATCAAGGGTACAATTACAAGAAAAAATGGAAAAAAATGAATTTTAAGGATAACTTTGAGACTTTCTCTATAGAGTAAAATTTTATAAAACACTTTTGGCAGTGGCAAATATTTTTTTTATAAATGGCAATATTGTAAGGGTTTATATGTATTTGTTAAGGTTTACAAATTTTATTTAATTTTGTCATTTTATGTAAAAAAATATTTGGACTTTACTACTTTTCTACAAAACTAGTTGAAAGAATTTTATGATAGTGATTGATATGCGCCCTTTTATATAGCAAAATCAAAACATCAAAATTTACCATAAAAATTGATAACAATAAAGCTTCCGGTTCATATAAGATAACAGTCGTGATATAGTCTGATTAAAACAATGAAAATAAACAACTAACGACGTGAAAAGCTAAACGCATGCGATATCATCAAACATTATTATCAATATGATATTTTAAAATTTAATTGTCTTTTGCATTAGTATGATAGTTATCTAGCTATATCAACATATAAAGTAGGAGTGGGTTGGTCATCCATAAGTAAGGCTCAAGTTGCCAAACTGTCATAAATAACAACCACCCAATGAAAAATATCCGCAAAGCAAACCATAGATGCGCAGATGTTATAATATGATTAGAGATTAAACAAGATCAAAAAAGATAGCAGACATAGTAGGAAACCGACACTCCAATGTTAGAAAATGGCTGAAGAAGAAGAACACACCATTCCATATGCTTTTTACATATATTTTTTTTATATTATGAGGATCTCCGTAGCTGATTGGCTGACATGCCTGACTGATTGCGAAAACATCTCTGAGGTGTAGGGTTCGATTTCATATCGGTTCAACGTAGAAAAGCTACCTTTATACATATTTATAGGTTTACTTCATACTCGTACCTATATAATGGTTATTTCTCTTCTTTGTGGGTCAGTAAAAGCATAATTAGATTATAATTCTCAAATAAAGTATGATAAAAATAATTTCATTGGTGTTCTTTGAACTTAAACAAAAAGCGTGTGTGTGTATCTGTTCAATAAATACCTATACAACAAGTACGTACTACACAGTAATCAAGCGATTTGCTATGTATGTATATTTTACAATCAATTCCAAATTAATTTCCTATTATTATTTTCATCATTTTAAGCAAACAATCTTGGAGTGCAGCTGCGCGGTTTATTTACACATTACTAGTTGGCATTATGCGCCAATGAATCGCGCTGAAGCAAAAAGAAGTATAGTGAACTATCAGGACGATCGAATAGTGTTATGGAACGAGAGTAGTGACAGGTAGTGACGTGAATTATGAAGTCGAAGAAGTGTGAATTTTGTTGTTGCATTATTTTTGTAATTTTATTACGTAATTAAGTCAGACTGTGAATTGAATGAGGAAGTATTTCAAAAAAAAAGTAGTTCCCGAAATCAAACTAAATGTCGCTACAGTACTTTATTGATTTCTCCATGACAACCCTTCCGGTTTTCTGTCATGTATAAAAGTAAATTAATATTCAAAACTAACAACTCATATTCCATTTGTACATTTTCGTATTTGTTTTGATATGTAAATTTCGAACTTTTCAGTTTTTTCAGTTAAAAGAGATGGGAATGTCTATCTTTGGTCCTGCAAAAATCAACTTTTGCTAGAGTCGCCATCTAGTGGAGGTGCTTTTTAGTGCTCTCCTTTTTTTCTTAAATACTTCCTCGTTGGCGTTGATTTCTATTCCAAACTCTTACTTATAACAATACCTATTTCATAAGTTAATAAAGTTTTAATTAATTAAAGCTTTAAGCAGTGACAGCGATGTGCTCGGCGAATACAGGACTAATAACTGCATTGAAGCAACAATCACAGGCTATATATGCAGTAAATATAATTGAGTACAATTTTCTTAAGACAATCAATTTAAGAGAATTAATAAAAATATACACTGTTCTTTGATGATATAAACTGATAATATAAAATCCTTGGTAAAACAAAAGAAACTAACAATAATTAATTAACCTTTGTGAAAGTTAAAAGTTACACGGAGATTAATTTTACCGGAAGTAAGACGCTCCGAAGAAGGCTTAAAAGGTAATACAAAATGAAGTCTATAACTTTGAGATTTATACCCCCGTGGAGAAACGATTCAATGTCCGTCTTCGAGATAACAATGTCTATGTTCTTAGTAGATCTTTTTTTTTTGTTTCCATAATAATCGCATCTCAATAGAATCTTAGCTAGTTGCATTATGCCAATGTATTATCTACCTAAAGTGCAAAATTATTAGAAAGTTGTCACCATTCGACGTGTGAGGAAGATATTGCATTAAT